AAGCAATTGTTGCTGAAATTGGGGATAGGAAGTTTGTTGTTCTTGTTGATGAGGCACGGGATGCATCAATCAAGGAACAAATGGCTGTTGTATTGAGGTAATGAGATCTGTATTTTGTTGTTGTTGTTGATTTCTTGTTTAAACTCATTGCTGATTTTGTTGCTCTATGTGACTGTAGGTTTGTCGATGCACAAGGACAAGTTATTGAGAAGTTCCTTGGTATGAAGTCTGCTACTGATACAACTTCATCATCTCTGAAGGAAGAATTGGATGGTATGTTTGCTTGTCATGGTTTGTCTATATCTAGAGTCCATGGGCAAGGGTATGATGGGGCATCTAATATGAGAGGACAATTTCACGGGCTGCAAAGACGGATACTAGACGAGAATCCATATGCTTTTTATATACATTGCTTTGCACATCAATTGCAATTAGTGGTTGTCTCAGTAGCACAGTGTTGTGGTTCAGTATTTGATTTCTTTAACATCACCTCTTTGATTGTCAACACTGTCAATGTTTCTTGTAAGAGAAGAGATCAGTTGGCCCAAAACCACCATGACAACATTGTAAATCAATTGAAAAATTGTCAAATTTTTAGTGGTAGAGGGAAAAATCAAGAAACTAGCCTTGCAAGGGCATGTGATACAAGATGGGGTTCTCATCACAAAACCTTGTGTCGCCTTTTCCATATGTGGGATTCAGTCTTAGAGGTATTAGAAAATGTTGCTGAAGATGGTGTTGGAGATAAGAGAACAACAGCTTCAGGCTTGCTGTTACAAATGGAGAATTTTGAGTTTGTGTTTATATTGCATCTTAAGATCAGATTATTGGGCATAACAAATGATTTATCACAATGCTTGCAAAGAAAAGATCAGAATATTGTTCGGGCTGTTGGGTTGGTTGGGATCACATTGCATAAAATTAATGATGTAAGGCAGCATGGTTGGGATGAGCTGTTTGAGGAGGTAACGGAGTTCTGTGCAATCCATCACATCATTGTCCCAAATATGGAGGAGAACGTAATTGTTCGAGGTCGTTCAAGGGGGCATGGAGGGCAGCAGGATGTAAGGTCGAGATGGCGACTAGAGGGGGGTGAATAGTCCTTTCTAAAACTTAATCGTGTCGGCTAATCGAAACAAGTGCAGAATTAAAACTATCGGTCTAGCCAAGATTACACCCCTCTATCTAAGTTCTCTAGCACCTTGCAAAGATCCTAATTAAGCAACTAAGGTGCCGGACTAGCTAGAGCTCACCTATCCAATTCTAGGAGCAAGGTCACACAAACCTATGCCACTAGTATTTTAAGCAACGAGGAAGTTCCTACACATGCTAGTAAGTAAAAGACAAAGCCACCTAAGCTCACTAGCAATGCTCAATAATAAGGCAACCAATGCTAAATTAGAGAGCGCAAATATTTAGCTACACAAACTAAGCAATATGACTAACAAGGTTACACAAACCAAATTAGCCACGCAAGGGAGCTACTTCTGTGCTACACAAGCAAGAAGGTAACTAGTGAGCTACACAAGCTAACTAATTACAAGAGCAACTATACAAACATAATGTATATGAAAGTAATTACAAGCTTGTGTAAGGGGATTGCAAACTAACGGGAAGAATAATGTTGACATGGTGATTTTTCTTCCGAGGTTCACGTGCTTGCCAACACGCTACGTCCCTGTTGAGACAAGCTCCAAGGTTGCCGCTGATCCTCTTGCTAGTGGTGACCCACAAGTCACACTCTCCCACATGGAGTGCTTACCACAAGCTCTAGCACTTGACCCGGCCAAACCACTTGTCGCCCTTCGCGTCTCGCTCTACTAGAGTTGCTCTTCGTGGCTCCCGCGGGGCGAGCACAATGCCCCTCACAAAGCTCTTCTTCGGAGCACCACACAAGCTTCTTGTGGGCTTCGATGGAGACCACCACCAAGCCGTCTAGGAGGTGGCAACCTCCAAGAGTAACAAGCACCACCGGCTTGCAAGACGACCACCTAGTGCCACTCGATGCAACCTCACGATGAAATCGCACTAGAATCGCTCACTCACTCAATCGGATAAACACTATCAAGCTAGAGTGAGTTAGAGGGCTCCCAAGCACCACCACATAAGCCACTAAGGCTCTAGTGTGCTAAGCTTATGGCCAAAGGCCAACCAATATTTTTATTTATAGCCCCCATGAAAATAGAGCCGTTCTACCCCTTCACTGGGCACTGCTCGGGGCGACCGAACGCGTCGGTCAGATCGATCGAACGCACCCGGTCTAGTGTTCGATCAATGGATGCACGCCACGCGTCGCCTCCGTTCAACCTCAATCGCTTGATCTCAACGGTCGGATGCCATGCGCCAATGGTCAAGTGATGACCGGACGCAGCACAGCGCCAAGACCGGACGCGCCACTGTCTGAGTCCGGTCGTTTCCAGAGAGCTCTCTGAGCCTCTGTTTTGCGACCGGACGCGTCCACTCCTGCACGACCGGACGTAGACCAGCCAGAGTCCGGTCATTTCCAGAGAGCTCCCCGAGCCTCTGTTTTGTGACCGGACGCGTCCGGTGCTGCACGACCGGACATAGACCAGCATCCGATCAGTTCTGCGCCCACGCGCCAACTCCAGCATCGCCTACGTCACCATACGTCACACCCGACTGGACGCAGGCCCTGCGTGTCCGATCACCTTTACTGTGCAGCGTCCGGTCACTTGACCAAAACCGCACCCAACTGCTATCACAGAACGGATGCGCCGGTCCTGCCGAGGCTAGCGTCCGGTCACTCACAGTGACCTCCTTTCGCCTCTGTTTCTTCACCGAGTTGATCTGTTTCAACTTGAACTCCTCCTTTGCAAATGTGCCAACACCACCAAGTGTACACCACCATGTGTATGTGTGTTAGCTTTTCACAAACATTTTCCAAAGGATTAATCACTCAACTTGCCACACCACTCGATCCTAGCGACAATGCAAAGTTAGATCTCTCGAGTGGCACTTGATGATCGATATGCAAACAAGTTTTGCCCCTCTTGATAGTATGGCCATCTATCCTAAACTCAGTCATAAACTTCTCTACTCACCTATGACCGGTGAAATAAAATGCCCTAGGTTATACCTTTGCCTTGCGCATTCCATTCCATCTCCTCCATTGTTGATGCAACACATGCACCAACCAATCACCAAATGATATGATCCACTTCATATCATCACGTGACCGTATTGGTTCATCGATCTTGACTTCACTTGCTTTTCACCATTGCTTTCGTCCATCGGTGCCAAGTCTTGCTCAAGCTTCACCGCCACGTGGTCCATCACTCCAAAGCCTTCGACTTGCCCTTCACGCTTGCAACGAGTCCATCAAGCCAAGTCATGTCTTGATCTTCTCCACCTTGATCACATGACTCCATATCATGTCTCATGTGCAATAAGCTCCTTCATCATCACATGTGTGAGCTTTGCAACATCTTTGAGCCATCATCACCGTCATGGCATATGTTGCTCACACACATGTACCTGTGGACTAATCACATGTGTATCTTACTTGAACACATTAGTCCACCTAAGGTTGTCACTCAATTACCAAAATCAAACAAGGACCTTTCACAGGTAACCTACTACCATCACTTCAAAAATGAGATCTTCAATATGGCGCATGACCAAGTTATTGTTGAATTAAATAATCAGTTTGCTGAAAGGTCTACCCAATTATTGAGATGCATTGTATGTTTATATCCATGGAATTTCTTTGCCAACTATGACCGTGAGAAACTAATTGAACTTGCTCAGATTTATGATGATGATTTCTCCCAATATGATCATGATCGACTTCCGCAACAACTTGATAACTTCATTAGTGATGTGAGAGCTGATCCTTCCTTTGCAAATTGTACCGACCTTGGAGAACTTGCTATAAAGATGGTTCAAACTGAAAGGCACACAACCTTTCCATTGGTTTATCGCCTCATTGAGTTGGCCTTGATTTTACCTGTTGCAACTGCCACAGTAGAAAGGATTTTCTCAGCTATGAAGATTGTCAAGACTGAGTCTCGAAATAAAATGGCGGATGAGTGGTTGAATCATAGGATGTATGTTATGTTGAGCGAGCTGTGTTTGCAACCATCCAAAAATGATGACATCTTACGGCATTTTCAAGAATTGAAGACCCGAAAGAAGTTACCTAGTATGTTACATAAGTTGCTCCTTTTCTTATTAACCTTTACTTGCTTATTTTCTTATTAACATTTTTGCTGGCTCTTTTTCTTATTAGGAGTTATTATTGAGGACAAGGAAGTGGACGTCGCGAATGCACCAAATCAGGGACGTCACTAGACACTAGGATTTTATTTTTTTAATGTTCCATGATACTTCTTAGCTATTAATTGTATAGTTGAAGAACTTTTCTTGCAAACTTTGCTTGAGAATAATATATATATAGAACTACTACCCTGTAGCTAGCTATAAAATAACTTATTCTGTAGCCACTTTGAGTTACGATAATTACTATGTTAATTTACGAGATTATAGTAACTCCTTACTAAGTGGTTTACTATAACGTTATGGTAAATATCCCCATGTGTTATAGTAACCCAACTATCGTAAATATGTATTGACATTATCGTAAATTAGTATATAAAATTATCATAAATAGAGGTGGCTACAGAATAACTTATTTTGTAGCTGGCTACTTAATATACTCTCCATGTATGCTGTAGCTTTGGGTTTTTAGCCGCTAAGATTTGGCCCTAGTCTTGGCCAAATCCTGGGGCTGACGCTGCTTGGGGGCATCCTATTCGGATGGATTTGGGTCATTGCGATGTCTTCCAGTATTTACCAAAAAGCTCGCACGACACAGGCAAAATCGAAGGCACCAGTATTTATAGCGTCACACATCCATGTTACGCTGTTCTTCCTCTTATTCCATCACCAATATACCTCACCTTGTAGGCTTGTACGCACAAACTGCACACGACACGAACCTGCGAATGGGCGCGGCGTGATCTGTGCCTGGCAAGCGCAGCTCACCGCTCACTGCCCACAGGAGAGGAAAAGAATTGAAGCGCAGCAACGGTGTCATGCGAATCGCCGAATCGGTGCTGCTGCCGCTTCATCATCGTGTAATCTTGGATCACGGCACCAAGCGCGAGATTCGGTGGCAGCTCCCGGTGCGCAAGCGGCTGCCCGGTCACGGGGGACGCGTCGTTCCCTCCGTCCAGCCAGCCTCTGATGGCGTCGCCCTCGTAGGTGAACCCGTCTGCCGCGACGTGGGGATCCCTCATGGGCTCCTGCAAGAATCGACTCGCGGGAAACATGTTCACAGAATTGCTGTGTGAGAGAAAAACATTGTTGTTAACTGAAAAGTACTTGCTGAACAGGGCGTAAACCGTCTTGCAGAGCGCCACGCACTATGGCACTGTGCTCAGAGGAGGATGCATGGACCCACCTGAAGGATCGGGCAGAGGAAGTAGGATGGGACGCAGACTTCGTCGTAGGGCGACTGAATGACGGACGACGGCGAGAACGCGGCCAGCTTGCTCTGGTTGAGCGGCGCTTCCACCTCCAGCTCCAGGTCCCTTTCACCGGTGCCCAGATCGATTTGTATCTGGACATGCTCCTTCTGCTGTTGCTCAGTTGCTTGACCGGCGGCTGTCCCAAAAACGGCATCCATGTTGAAGATGTGGCCTTCCAGGGACGATCTCTCTGACATTGCCTCTTGGAGTTTGTCTGTTGCTGTGTTTTGCTCATCCAGGGGTACCTGGTTTGCTTGCCTTAACCGCGCGATCTCTCGGTGTGCTCTTGCAAGAGCTCCTTCAAGCTCTTCACGCTTTCTCGCCTCCTCTAAGAACAATTCCTGGTATTCCTTTGCCTGCAAGGTTCAGAGTTCTCATCAAAATCTAAAATATATACAGCTAGAATGTTTTACTCGTTTAATAAGTTTGTAAGATTCTTTGTTTCTCAAGGGCAAGGAATTGTACTTTCTGAAGAGCAGAGGCCACTTCTCCGTCTGCCTTTTGGCGCCTGGAAGATTCGCTTAGGGCTCTCTTCATCAAGTTCTCAGCTGCTATGCATGCCTCTTTGAGCTCATCGTAAAACCCCAACTCCGACTTAACGTCGTCCTACATAACAGTAATGAAAAAAAAAACAAAAATATAAGCTTGCCATAATCATTAGAATCAGGAGATCCCATTAGATACTCTGCCACACCTCTTTCTGGTAAGGTACTAACTGCAGAGCTTGGTGATCAAAATCAGGGAGAAAAGGCGTGGCTGATGGTGCAATCTCCTCTTCCTCACCCCTATCATAGAAAAGTCGATCAGAAATTTGTGACCCCCACTGTTCATTAGCTACCAGAAATCCAAACGTTACAACTCAGGCTGTACCTGGTACAGATGAGTTGTCCCTTAAAACACACCAAATCTTGCATGATGGATCAGCTCTCTGCATAATTTCTGTTGCTATCTTACATTTAGGTTTGTCCATTTTTCTGAAACCAAAGTTGACGAATGTACTTTTGATACATGATGGATTTATAATTTCCTAAGTTTACCAGATACAGAACTCAAATTTGGGGAAAAAAAAGGATTTTCTTATGTCAGATTCACCTTGAATATTGCCTGTCTGCAGCACCTGAAATAACTAGCTTAGTGACTTTATGCAAGACAATGAGTTCAACCAGACCGGCTACAACGTCTTCCTTCTCAAAAACGAGTTTCTCACATTTGACCTGAATTTGCAAAACATGGGGACCTATCAGTCATCCTGTTCAGTTTGAAACTTGATGCTAACTTTTAAATTATGAACTGCATGCCAAAACCATATGAAGAAGGTAAATGTAAAATATACGAGTGTACGACACACCAACACAGTGGTCATGAAACATGGGGAAGAACCAAAATAGCACCTTCATTTTTGAACATTGATGAACATAGCCGTCTAGCTGTCTGTCCACCTTCTCATACTCGATCCTTCTGAACAGTTTGACTTGCTCCGGACTCAGTTTACTAGAGTGGAATTTAACTCCCACTGCATTTAGAAAGATAGAATTAATAAAATCATCTAACCACAGCAGGCACAAGCAGAACTAATATCTCCTATCCACAGCAGGCACGGGTAGAATTTGCATGTCCTGGAAAAGAAATCACAGAGTTTCCTTCTCCTCAAGGCAAGGTAATATTATTGTTCGCAGTCCACAGGAAGAGAGTGGATTATGGTTAGGCTAACATTCATTTTACAGTCACATGAAGTAACAATCCAATATTCACCACAGTTAGTACATGTCCTATTTAATCTGATATAAATATAGAGTATTAGTCCGATTGGACAATCACCTTATTGAAAGTTTGAAACACGAGAAACAAGCAAACTACAGGAAACGTTGCCCAGGAGAATTCCCGTGGCCGGAATCATGTGGCCGGTCACAATACATCATGATCAATTCATGTGGCCGCTGGCCTCGAATTCCCGTGGCCAGAATCATCGAACTACCAAGAGCAATAGAACGAGAGGTAAAAGCATACTATAAGATCAAGAAACACGTACTCACTGGAATCATATGTGGCGGGACATGCACATGTGTGATCACAACCGTGGTTCTGCTGCCGCCGAAATGATCGAGAACCCATGACAGCGTGGACTGCCCCACCTTGAACTCTGCCGGCAGCACGACGAACACCTTCTCCATCGCTGCCGCCAACTTCTTCGCAGAGTTCGCCGTGAAGCCTAGGTTTAAAAGAGCTCCTTGTCTGGTGGCAAGTGGCATAAGAAACACGCAGACGTTGGACTTAGTATAACATACAAGAGACTTTGAACGCGGGACAGTGACACCGTGCGAGGAGGAAGCCAATGGCACGCGACAGAGACATACAGAGACAAGGAGGAAGTTCCCAGGCTACCTGCAGTTCTTAACTCAGTGTGAGCACTTGTCACATCAGACAAAATTTCTGCTTGTTTCATAATGCCTTGTAAAGTTGACTGACTCATCAGTCATCTATGCAATATTTTGCTGGTTAAGTTTCAACTGAGGCCTGGCTTAGTTCCAAAAAAATTTCACTCTAAACTATAACATCAAATCTTGCAGCACATACATGGAGTATTAAATATAGATGAAAAAAAAAACTAATTGCACAGTTTGGTTGGAAATCGTGAGACGAATGTTTTAAGACTAATTAGTTCATGATTAGCCATAAGTGCTACAGTAACTAGCATGCGCTAATGATGGATTAATTAGACTTAATAAATTCGTCTCGCAGTTTCCAGACGAGCTATGTAATTAGTTTTTTTTATTAGTATCCGAAAACCTCTTCCGACATTCCCAAAATATCCGATGTGACATCCAAATAATTTTATTTCGTGAACTAAACATAGCCTGATTAGGAGTAACATCACCGAAGAAAACTGAAAGACGGACATGTTGGAATATCTAGTATTAAAATATTGAATTACACATATTAAATTATTAAAGTAGAATATCATAATTTCGATCTTGTATAGTGTTTAACATCTGGGGCAGATTTGGCCATGCCATCCTCCCGATCAGTGTGCCTAACATTAGTCAAAACAGCAATGTCATAATCTATCTCACTGCCCACACCAGGGGTGTGTTTGGGCAAACCAGGCTCCCGGGATGCAGCCTGCTCATGTTTGGTTCCTTGGCCACCCTCCCGAGCCAGGCTCCGCTCGTGCAAAAGCCCCCTCCTGACCTGGCTCGCGAGGAAAGCCCAAATCGGCCGTTTTTCTTCAGCCTGGCTCGCTCCGTGCTCCCGCGAGCTCATGCGCCTGGCGATTCCGTGCGCGGGGAGATGGCGCGAAGATCCTAGGGTTACCTCCCCCATTCCCGCCATTCACCGCCTCTATATCTTCCCTCCCGCCGCCTCCCTCTCTTCTTCTTCTTGTCGCTCCCCGTCTGCGCCGCCGGTAAGCTCCACCTCCTCTTCCTCCTCCCCCGGTGTTCTTGATGGATTCGTGGCCTCCTAATGCCTACCCTCTCTCTCGATTTGTTGCAGGTGCCGTGGATTTGCGTCCTCTCGAAGCAAGTGAGTTTTTCCCCTTCTCTTTCTCCATTTTTTCTGTGCGATTTGAAATCCTAGGTCACCATTGTTTGTTGATCTCGCTACAGGCACACCAGATCTGATTTCTTTATTGCGGTATGGATCCTTGTTCTTAGGTCTCATTTTTTTCTCTTGTTTTTTTCAAGTAAAAATCCTATTTTGTGTATGCTAATCCTCTTTTCTTTGCTTGTGTGCTTGCAGATCTGAGCTCCCTCACCTGCTGGGTTGGGCTTTTGCTGGTGTTGCTGCTTGTTGATGTGGGTATTTTGTATATCTACTCTCCCTCTCGCTTCCTCCCTAATCTGTATCGTGCGATAGTGAGTTCTGCGTTCTTGGATTCGGATGCATGTCCTACTTTGTGAGATTATGAGCAAGTATATGAAGTTGCCATTTTGTTTGAGCTATTGTCCAAGTCTGTGATGATTTCTTTTGTCCTGAGCTATTGCCTTAGTCTATGATGATACATTTTTCTGAGCTATTGCCCTAGTCTGTGATGATGAAAGTCTTATTTTTAGCATGTTCTAGTATATGATGAATCCTTTTTCTGAGCTTTTGTCCAAGTCCACGATGATGACATTGTCATTCTGAGCATTTGTTCTTAAATTCCATTCATCATATACTAGAAGTAACCGTATAATTTGAGGCACTCTAGTTTGAGAGTAACTGTAGAAAGGGCATTTGGGGCTCTGAAGAACCGTTTTCGTATTATTGACACCAACAAACCATTCCATCGCTTGAGGACACAAATCAAGCTTGTGATTGCCTGTAATTCATTTTATTCATGGACAAATGCTGTTTTTTTCCTGTGATTCTTCACTTGATCTGAGACTTTGGGCAATAGCAATGATGTTTTTTTTCTGTGATACTACACTTGATCTGAGACTTTGGGCATGTGCAATGATGATAAATTTTTTGTGATACTACACTTATGCTGAGGCTTTGGGCATGTGCAATAATGATAAATTTTATGTGATACTACACTTATGCTGAGGCTTTGGGCATGTGCAATGATGATAAATTTCCTGTGATACTACACTTATGCTGAGGCTTTGGGCATGTGCAATGATGTTTTTTTCTTGACATAATACACCTGTGCTGAGGCTCTGGTCATGTGCAATGATGAATTAGGCTATGGCTGAGGAGATGATGCCTGCTAATGAGCTTGTGTTTCCTACCGAGGAGATGATCTGATCCTGCATAGCTTACTTACTAACATAGTGTCTTAGATAACCCTGCACCTACAACCTAGATCAACCTAGTGGTGGCAATCTAACCATGAGTCCATTGCCAATGATGTGAACCTTGTGGTTCTGAACTTGATATGGGCACCAGCCTGTGTCTGTGATTTGCACAATTTCATTCTGAGCACTTGCCTTATTGCCTGTGATGTTTGTTTTCTTATATCTGAGCATATGTCCATTGCCTGTGATGCTTTATGACTGAACTGAGCACTTGTCCATTGCCTGTGATATTTTTGGATTGATCTGAGCACATGTTCATTGCCTGTGATGTTTTTTGATTGATCTGAGCACATGCCCATTGCCTGTGATGTTATTTTGATTAATATGAGCACATGTCCATTACCTGTGATGTTTTTTTGATTGATCTGAGAACATGTTCAGCTATGGCTTGGTATGTTGTTCATGTTGGGAAGGAGCCTGGGGTCTACTCCTGCTGGGCTGAAACACATGCTCAAGTAGATGGTTTCAAGGGAAACTGCTAAAAAAATACAAAACAAGAAATGAAGCTTTGCTAGCTTTCTATGGTGATCAACCTGAAAATCCACCTCTCCTCCAACCTGTCAGTGCACCTCTACTAGAAAATGATAGAAATGACAACTTTCGCTTGTGCCACAGTTCATTTATACTTGTAATAGCAGTAGTTATTGCCTTGCTAGTAGGTTTTTTCATTTGGAAATTGATGTAATATCTGATGTCAACTAGTGGGTGGTAATGTTACCACTACATGCAAGAGGTGACTAGAACTTGTTGTATGCAGCCAACCAAACAATGATCCATGCATGGGCTTTTTAAATCACGCAAACACATGCATGCAACCAAACACTTGCCTCACCTTAGTTTGGTTCCACAGATGCATGCAATCAAACAACCCCTCATTGCATGCATCCGCTCAGGCAAATGCACTGGCTACTGGAGCTGGCTGGGCTGGGCTAGGAAGGGTACCAAACACGCCCAGATGGAGGCATCCCATCGCTGGTCGTCTCCAACACAACCGCCTCGGTGCCATTATGTAACATTGTCGCCATCACCTTCGTGGTAGCAATGGGGTCACTAGATGCATCGTATGTGCATCAAGCTTGTTGTTTGCCAAAGGCATAGGCCCCAAGAACGCCCACCAAGCCGGTCCTCACCCCCATGGCCTCATACATTGCTTTGACGAGGTGAGTTGTGGTAGTTTCACCGTTCTGCGCTGCGGTGACACCTATGACGATGCCATGTCCGTCAACGGCCACTTTGAGAGGCAAAAGTGGGAACACTTTGAGCGTGGCAAAATGTCATCCACAATGACCAGCCAAGTGGCGTGCCAGGTGCCCTCGATGTTGAGGTCCCGATCGGCTTCTGACAAAGAACGGCCCCACGCTTGTCGGCCTCGGTGAGCCCCGAGCCCGTCCTCTCCCACGCACAAAAGAGGTCGCCCGCCGCCACCGAGTAAAGCGTCGCACACACACCCTCGCGAGCGCGCGACGTCCCCGGTCACCCATCACGCCACCGGGACGAGCTTGCTCTCGCCAAGGAGTTCAGCCAACACGTCATATGGAAGGTCGGTTGCCGCATCCTAGCCCCTCGAGGCCGAGCTCCTCGGCCACATCAAAGCCTTCCCGTCCTCGCCGAGCGGCAATCCATTGTCTCTATCCTCGTCCTCGCGCCCCTCCAGCTCCTCATCCTCCTCGTCCACCACGGATACAACACTAAGTCCTCAAAGCTTCCGAATCTCATCGAGATCGATCACCTCCTCGGGGAGAGCTCGCGTCGGTGAGGTCCTCGCGTCCTCCGATTGCGATTGGCGATTGCGACGACGGCGGCGGCGGCGGCGAGGGACGGCTTGATGAGTCCGTGCCGAGTGAACTCCTCTCTCTCTCGCGATGGCGCGGTCAATTTCGTCGAAGAACTCGCGTCGTCGGTCGTAGCGCCTCCGCCACAACGCCTCCGGCGGGAGGGGACGACAAGAGCGGGTTGTCGGTGGTGATCTCCGATTTGGCGGCTCCGGCACGCGCTCCACGCTGCGTGCAAGCTGGTCGAAGTGGTGAGGCCATGGGAAGAGTCCTCCGCGACCTCGGGAGGTTCATCGTCGACGGTGGTAGGCGGAACCGTCGTCAAGGGCAAAGGGCGGCGGGCGTGAGGGGAGGCGGCGGGGGTTGGGAGGGGCTAGGATTCTGGAAGGCGAAGGGCGGGAGGAGGGGAATGGGAAGGGGAGGCCCAGGGGCACCGTGGCCATGGGAGGCGCGTCGTAGCCTGGGAGGCTGGGAAGGTGTGGGAATTAGCGCTGCAGACGCTGTTGGTGGGAGGTTTTGGTCATTTTGGATCGAGCCTTTTACAAGTGTCCCACTAAAAAAGATGGTCGCGCTCTATCTGCCACTAAAAAGTTTGAACACACCTATATGCTATGACATTTT